TTCCACTGGTCTATTGGAAAACCGGCCCATTTTAATATTGACACCCTGTAATTCTTAAACTGCATTGGCCCTTGAATCCCAAAAAAAATTAGTGGCATAGATTCGTATTTTGAAATGTTTTACGATTTTAGATTTTGGATAGCATACCAAACTTACTTCATTTGTCTTTTGTACATTAAGCAGTTTTAATTCTTTCTGAAATGCTTTATTTTTCATAAAGTGCAGCATAAAGCAATAGAAATTTTAACGCTCCGACATGCAAACAAAGCTTCACATTTTGTAGCTAATCGTAGCTCGTACTTTATTCACGTTCCAGCACTGACAAGTATTCTCAATTCAAACTTGTTGCTGCAACCGGTTAAATTCTGATCTGCTGCCGATGATAAATTTTGCATTTTCAAATGACACGTTTAAGCTGTAAATCTATCGTAAAGTACGTTTTGTTCTTTTTATGCGCCATAAAGGGATTCAATTGAATTGCAGAGAATGAGAGAATCCTCCTCGAAACGTTGAATAAGGTGGACCTAACTATTTAATTACATCATTTTTTAATCTATGGTTACATGGATTTTATAATAATTGAATTACTAGACTCCAACAGTCTACCCATGAATATTACCAATAATTCTAAATGGAAAATGAGTATGCCTCTGTATCGTACCCCTTTCTATGAAATATGCACCCCGAGCGGGACATGTTGACTGACCACTGACACCATGCTAATGTTACTATAGTCCTTTGGGTATCCATCTTTCCTTCTCTAACTCGACATGGGGTGCAATGAAAATCCACGTTTAAGAACTTAAAACTTTCCCCATTAAATTCAATTTATTCAAAAATTTGATGTTGAAAAATAAGGCTAAGGCGACATGTTTCGGCCTGATGATGGCGTGTTAGCCGAAACATGTCGCCTTAGCCTTATTTTTCGACATCAAATTTTTGAATAAATTGAATTTTATGGGGAAGGTTTTAAGTTCTTAAACGTGGATTGTTACTATAGTCATTGATAGACTAGATTACAGTGGTCATACTCGTGTGCAAGTAATTCTTGAATTACAGCATCCAATCAAGGTTCAATAACTTTTATGTTTGTTAAGTTAGATCTTGTGCGTTCATAAGCAGGATATTATAGAAATGAAGGTTACCCTTTTCCAGGATCTGAGGGATGTGATGAAAGCTAGGATGAAAGTCTGGTATAATTACAGGCTGTTGTTGTAGGAATAAATCTGTAAGCATTTGGTGGAATTGAAGATTGTCCTTTCTGTGTCTTTTAATTTCTACAGAGCATTGTTTTCATAAGGGAAAATGTCGTCGTAGATCGACTGGAATAAAATTCTTCGATATATTTTCGGATGCCAACGTAAGGCGCAATAAAAGGTAGGGCCAACCGATTTGTAAAGAAATACTTCCCTAAGGTCTATCGAAACAAGGTTGCCGCAGATTCACTGGAAAAAGGCACTATGACTGAGACATTTTGGTTTGACTCATTCATCACCTGGCCATCATAAAAAAAATAGTAGCCTCTAAACCGAATTGTGAAAAGGCAAAGAGTCCCTTCTCAAATTGAGAGAAAAAGTTGCCATGTTCTTGAAGATCACCACATTATTTTGAAAAGTTTAATTACTTTCTTGTATAATTGTTTGTGTTTGTGTACCATTTTCCTTTTTTTTGTGTTACGATTAAATCGCACTTTTGTAATTTTCACATTAATTTCCGTGTTCACAACCGACGTCTTTTCTAATTTACCTGTTGTTTTTATTGGGCGCTTGCCCAAGACCCATTTTAATTATTTAAAATTTTGAAGTTCAGTTTGGAGTTTAAGGTATTTGGTTTGACCCAATATCTGATACAAGTTAACAGGTTGACTGTTAACTCTCCTCTGTGCTGGTAAGAAGTGTTGTGCCGTGATCATAACAAAAAAAAGGTAAAGAGCTAACTAGGTTTTTGTTTTGGTGTTTTGTGTACGGTCTTTCTGTCTAACGGACCAGTGCGCACAACGTTATTAAATGGCCCCCAACGTGGGGCACACAGCAATATCTTTTAAACGTATTCATAAAAACGCTAGAACCGGACGAATTTTATTGTTAAAACAAGAAAACGACTAAACAGGGATAAAATTGTGCTTTTATTGGACCTTTAACAGCGACTTGAAAACTTTAAATGAAAGTTAAAGTCTAAATGCCCCGTACGCATAAACGTTACTTATCGGGGTTGCAAGTGGTTTTTTAAGAGTAAGTCGATACATTATGATCCCGCGTTGAAAAAGGCCGGAACGGTTGTTAACACGCTGGAGAACACCCGGGGGAGTCCTCATCTCTTCAGTCTGGCCGTCTATATATGATACCATCCCCCTTTTTTGCCCAAGGAGAATTGTCCCTATTCGCTCGAGTTAAATTAAATTAAAAATCGAAGAAGAAAGGTCGAACTAAAATATAAAAGTAAGTGACGAATTGTTCTTGTAAAATAATGATGTTGAAAAGGGAGCGTTCGAGAGTTACATAATTGCGTCTCAAGATTGTTTGCCGTAGTCAGCGATGCAAATAATTTAAGGCGTTGATCAACTTGGAGAGGAGCTATTATCGCTTTTAAATGTTGAATGAAAAAGTCGAGTGCCAGTTTAATTTGCGCGACCTTTAACACAAATTAAAGAAGCACTTGACACCGTTATTTTTAATGTAAATTACTCACTTTTCAATATTTCAACGAATTCGTCGTTCTAATTAAGCCATTTCTCGAATCCAGTAATCGGTTTAGGGCCGATTACGATTAATATTAAACGAAAACAGGTAAAAAGGAAGACAGGTGAACGTAATTCCAATTTTCTTTTGTATTTTACCGTCACATACATAATCCAAATAACGCTCTTTAGCGGAACGCTTACGGTACATAAATAATGAAAGTTTTCATTAAGTTAACGAAATTTTTATTGCAGAAATTTCTCAGAAAGGATCCTACTTGGGTTTAAAGATTGAATTTTGAGGGACGGTTATAAACAACGCAAGGAAAGAGGTTCTTAACGTTTCATGTTCTTAATACACTTTTCATCACGGCGCGTTCTTGCATTTAAATTCTTTGATGTTATGCGGTGGTGATGATTTTGTAATATGACTGTTTCTGTACTCAAATTTAGTTAGCTGATCGACCGCCACATGTTGAAACTTAATGTCTTTTGAGTTTTGGATGAAGCATCAGTGGCAAATAGTTCTTTTCACATGAACTACCTTGTAAGAAAGTGATGCTTATTTATTTATTTATTTATTTGTCTTTATTGTTGAGTGGCCGGGGTCTGCCTTTAAAAAAATTTTTTTTCTTAAAGAATTGACAGTTTTTCCTTCTCGTTTTTAATTTTGAAACTCTCATTTACCGTTTGGCGAACAAGAGCAAACCATTAACAAGCCATAGCTCGGTTTGTATTGGTCACGGAGCAACATTTTTTGTTTTTAAAAGCTAGTCTTGCTTGATCTCCACAGTTCTATTTTATAGAATGCATAGTTTTCGAGTTTTTCGCAAAAAGTATTAATTTTACGCACAAAAAATATATTGAACACTTTTTGCTTAGAATTAACTTGTTGCGTGTAAAGCCAAGCTTTGATATTTTGTGTGGACTGTATATTGCTATGCTTTTCGTATAACAGAATGTTAAAAGAATATCGGCACTCGTGATTAATGTGTTTATTGATTAAAAATACAAATAAAGTAAATTGATTTTCCAAAGTTAATGGAATTTTACAGGTTGTTTAGAGATACACCAGGATTTTAAGTTTTGGATCTTGAGGACTTCGGCCTTTTCTCGGTTTTTCGCTTATATCTTGTAAAGTAAGAATATTTGTTGTATATAGTGCACTACCTACAGCTTTGTAGCGCTTTAAATTTGTTGAAATTTGGTTTGTGGAACGAATTTTTAGACCCAATATGAACCGAAATACAGCTGATCAGCTGTAGAGAAGAAGAAATGCATAAAGGCAGAAAATCGATTCTTTCCTATCGTAGACTTCGCCACCAGAAAATGCAATGTGATTGATGGCGGATTGCTGTTGCCTAGGGTTATTTGGACCAGGTTAAGTGCAACCACCTTTCAGACAGTCTGCCAAAACTACTTGGAATATGATCAAAGGCACTTTCAGTTTCGTTTTTTTGATGCAATCCTGTTGGAATAAGCTACCAAAGCAGTTGAACGTTATCGCCGTTCTTTGCTGCACTCCTCAGCAAATGTTGCCTTTTGCAAGACAACTTCGATTTCGCAGGCGAACTTTCTTTGTAATGATACCACTCTAAAGAGTGAAATGGAACCCAATGGGATCAAAGGCAGAAGAAACGCAGATGTCATAATTGTGGAGACTGCTGTCACAGCTGGTGACAAGTATACTGTCATCATAACAGGGGAAGGCATAGATCTTCTGGTGCTACTTACTGCCTTTGGTTCTTCCAAATAGAACGTCTATTTCCATAAGAGGAAAGGAAATCATAGGTGTTCCAATATGATTGATGCTTTTGTCGTGGTATTAACAGGTACCTACTTGCTTTACGAAAGATATGGAAATCTTATGAAATTCCTGATGCATCAAGTTAAAATTGCCGAAATTATTTATCTAAATGTCTTAACGTGAATGGGATTTGCTAACATTAATCTAGGTAAGCATATTTTTCATATTTCCGTTGTTTGACATTATGTCATGTGTACGCTAGGCTAAACTCACGCAATTAAATTGGTGAATATTTAAAAACGTAGGATGGTAATTTATCTATTACAATAATAATATAACCGCGTTCGAGTAGGTATACACATATGTGCCCATGACAGTAACGTATTTTACTAATAGTTTTTGAATAAAAGAAATTAACGAGAAAACTCTTTATTTTGAAGCACACATAGAACATCATCGTATGGAACAAATGAGAACACAACTGCATCAGCAACAATGTCACACAAATTTGCGTATGTAGCATGAGCTGTCAATTATAGATGACATTTATATGCCATTTTTTAATGGGCGCCTTTATAGCCCAGTAGACCACAATGGCTAAAGGGTTATGCTATAATGAACAGCTGGCACCACTTACAATTGCCACAACCCTTAAATGCCTATGACTACAACATTTAATAATGACGGATTAGATAATAACCAATGCGCTTATTTAAATACAAATTTTAGTTACCTTAATTATAACTATAGGTGCTCGGTGAAGAAACAAGTGGCATTTTTCAATTAAATACCTTCATCCGTGCAAATTTCAATATTTAAATATTTTTTTTTCACTATTGATTTATTATCTCTGACAATGTGAGCCATTGCATGAGATACGTCAAATGTACACAGTACAAACATATAACTCCACAATTTATAATACTAGAACACGTTTAAATATTTACATAAAACTAGTTTCGAAAACAAAAGTTAAAAAACTCATCCACAGGATATGGTGCTTGAACTAAAAGAAATTGCTTTTATAGCTGCCCTAAACTCTTGAATGTATTCTGACCTGTTACACTTTTGGGAAGGACATTATATAATTTAATTCCCATTGACGTAGAAGAAATTTCTGCTAGCTTAAGCCTTGAAGAGGGAGTTACAAAATGATCTTTGTGTCGAGTGTTATGTGAATGTAAATTACAGTTACGTAATAAATGATGCCCATTACTGAAAATAGATGATGATACTTCTGAAATGTATATAGATGCAAGAGCTAAAGTACTGAATTTCTTAAAAATTGGTCGGCAAGATTCATATGTGCTAATACCGGCTATCCTTTTTTGAGTTAGAAATACTTTCTTTGCTGAGCTGGACGATCACCAGACAATAATGACATAAAGTTATGTATGTTCCCCAACAATATCCTGCGTTCATAACGGAGCATATCTGTATAATGCCGCAAGATCTACAGTGAGTCTCTATCTAAAACAGCATACGAGTGAGCCAACGCGTGTAATCTACATCACTTACAATAACAGGGCAGGGAACAGATATGTCAACCTATTTCAGATACATTATTGTATCTTGAGAAAAACCAGAGTGCTCAATTTAATATATACTGACATCACACACTCCAATAATTAAATTGTATTAACAATTTTTTTGCCACCTCATGGATTGACGTGATAGCAAAATTGAACAACACAACACGGTGCTAAATATTCAGTTTCCGTTCGAGTGATAAGGAAAACTGTGCACAAAATATATCTACCATAAAGCTTGCAACAGGCAAACATTTTTTTGAGGTTAAAATTTCGATGTTCAAAATTTATTATAAAAGTGTTCACAGCAAAAGACCAGACAAGAAATGCCTAGACCACATCCTAGTATAACGAATGCGAAAGTGATGTGTCGTAAAGTAAGTTCCCCGTCCTCAATATCTTCAACTTCTGTCCTTTTAGGATATTGTTTATAAAAATCCAGTTTGCGTTTGTTACCAATTCCACTTTCAAACATTGTACTTACGAAAGAATTGAGAGTAGGTGTGAAATAATGATCTGCGATTAATACGAATCGTGTTGCAGCCGCTCCCGTCATGGAATTATCCCATATTTTGTATGCGCCCGATTTATAAGACATTTCCCTTTCAATTTCGTGCAAATCTTCCTTCGTTGTGATAACGGCACAATTTCTATGATCAGAAACATCTTTTACTGAATAAGCAAGTCCCGTTTCGTCAACACCACGCAATTCCTTCTCTAACTGCATGTAAAGTTTACTACCAGTCGATCGAAAAGGGAAATGTTTTTTTCCGAAATACTTGAAAATATATATGGGCAACTGAGAATCTGCCAACTGTTCCAAATTGCGAATTTGAAAACCAATGCGTGGTTTTGTAAGAACAGTTGCCATATTAGAAGTCAATCCGCATTGAACGTGAATTACATAAATTAAATAACATAAAAATGTGATACGTAGTGCAAAAGATCTAGGCATTTGGGACACATTACCAGAAATAGTTAGCGACCAGACGGACAAGAAAGCATAACATAGCGTATTAAAGCTAAATCCTTGACTGTAAGATACTATCAAACACCAAGTTAATGAAACGCATATAAATACAATGACAATAGCAATCCAAAGATCATACGTGACGACTAGTAAGAAAACATTCATAGTGGACGTTGGTACAGCCATTGGCACCAACCATACAATATCACAAGTCATTATAGGCCCTGTTATCATATAACGCCATAATAATATACTATTTGTCCAAGTCACTGAGATGTGTGTAGTACTTTTTAGTAAACGATAACCTTCGTTAAAGTCCTGGTATGCGTAATGCTTAAATGTGGCGTTAACGTGGTTTGATAATTCTTGGATAAAGTATAGTACGTAAAGGACGTATGGGTACCTTTCTGCTCTTGTGTAAACAGTACCTTTCTGGTAGGTGAATGTAAGTGGGCAATTATTCATCTGACGTATTTCCTTTGTAAAAGCAAATTTGATTTGATCCTCGCAATCTTCCGAAATTATTACTTTAGTAGCTGCTCCACAGGTATTTGCTGAAGAATATCGATTAGACATGTAAAGTTTCATCTTTCCTTCAGCATGAGCTAAAATGATTAAGTTATTCACTCCATACAACCAGAGCCTTTCAAATAGAAAGGAGACATGTACCGTGTTCATAATAATCAGAATGTTGGCATTACCGATACCTCTACCCCGACTTTCTGCTACATCACGCAGTATAATCACTGAGCGAAATAGATCAAATCCATCCTGTGCACAGATTACAAACTGGCCTTCGTAATGTAACTGAATATTGTCCATGTTCTTAATGTTTAACGTAATGAATGGCCGTTTTAACTCCATTTCAAATATCGTTGTATCGCATAAGCGATTATTTGGGATCAAGCTCAATGTATCGTCCTTCGCGAATAAATGATTTATAGTTTTATGAATACATACTTTAGTTGATAATTGTGATTCCTTTAAGTTGAATGGAATACTGCATTCAACTAACATCAACATTTGTAAATAGTTCAACGTCAACGGCTTCCAAATTTTCATCTTTAGGTACAGGACAACAAATAAAAAGTGAATGATTCACTGCACGTCTTTTTAGTTAAATAAGTCCAGAGCAAACAATTTAACTACACTTTAGTCCTTATACCAAAAGGACAACCCTGTCGCCACTACGAACAGCCACGGACTAAGCCCGGTTATTAGTATAATGGATAGACAGCATAATTATGTACTTATTCCATTAACCTTCGTGCATATTTAATGTATGTAAATCATAGTCAATTACGTTTATTGATTCATATATCCATAAGAATTATCAGTAATGGAGAACGTGGCAATGCATTCGAACAAAATAAATAAATAAATCAATAAATAAATAATTAAATAAATAAATAAATAAATATCGCGTTATTCTCCGCGTAGTTGTTACGGAATGCTATGTATTCAACTATAGTTTCTAAAATTTTTAAAAAAATTCTAAAATTTAAAGAAAGATTGCTAATAATTTTTGTTGGCCTCTTAAAGATTTCGAAAAAGATTTATTACACCTCGCATAAAATTCACGGAAAGGCTTTTAAGATAAAAAAAAAAGATAAAAAAAAAAAGTTCAAGAGGATTTTATTGAAGAAGATTCTTATAAAAAAACAAGATTTCCCAAAAGTTTTGAAAAAAAGATTATAAAAGTACTTCTCTAGGGAAAAAAGTCCAAAATATTGATTGTTTCTTGTCCTGATGAAGCCCTTTACGAAAGTGGACGAAACATTGGGTTTTCGTTCAATATTGACACGTTCCTAAGATGTCCTGGGAGGTATTAAGAAAAACCAGAGTTAGGACGGAGTACACCTCTAAGCTAAAGCTATCAATATGTGTAATTGAATACAAGTTTCATTAAATGCATGCAAAATTCAAAAGAATTAATTGACAAATTTCAATTAGTAGAAAAATGTAGCATGAAAACTCTTATCTCCTGGGCCGTAATTTGGGCTCGATTAATCATAAAACTAAACATTTACAGATGAAACAAAATTTATTCGAGGTCAGAAAACATACACAACGCGACAAGCGATCGATTATACAAATTAAATTTAAAGTTGATAACGCGTCACTGATTTTTGGAACCAAGTGCAAACTCGCGGATTATGTACATTACATGTACATATTTGGCAATGACAGTAACTGTATTTTACTAATAGTTTTTGAATAAAAGAAAGGAGCATGAAAACCATTTATTTCTAGTGCACACGTACAACATCATCTTATCGAACAAATGAGAACACAATTTACAGCAACAGTGTCACACAAATTTGCGTATGTAGCATAAACTGTCAATTACAGATGACACATATGCCATTTTTTCATGGGCGTTTTATAGCCCAATGTGCCAAAATTGCTAATGAACATTGAACGTTAGTATAGAGTTCAATGATAATGAACGGAAGCGACTACTTACAATTGTCACTCTAAAAATCATGCATTTTCACTGTTTACAAAAAAGGTTTAAGAAAAACCAGAGATACAATGAATTTATACAAGAAACCCTTAAGTGCCTATGGGTACAATATTTAATAATGACGGATTAGATAATTATCAAATCAGTTATTCAAATACAAATTTTAGTTATCTTAATGATAATTAGGTGCTCGGTGAAGAAAAAAGGTGACAAGTTTTCAATAAAATACCTTCATCCATGCATAAAGTTATGTTTATGTATGTCTCAACTCAAGCATAACCAGCTTTTATGTACACCGTGGACCGGAGACATCTGTAGATATACCTAACACCGCAAAAGTTCAAGTTGAGTTTCGTATTTCATCTCTATATAAAAAAGCATAGTGACTCACTGCGTGTAATCTACGTCACTTACGAAAAGGGTAGTGAACAGATATCTCACCCTACTGCAGATGCATTATAACATCTTAAGAAAAACAAGAATTAAGTTATATTAACCATTTGTTTGCCACCGCATGGATTGACAGGATAACAAAAATTGAATAATCCAACACGGTTTTACATACCGTTTGAGTGTTAAGAAAAACTGCACAAAATATATCTACCGTGCAACAGACAAACAAAAGGTTAAAATTCAGATGTACTAAATTTATTATAAAAGTGTTCACAGCAAAAGACCAGACAGGAAATGCCTAGACCTAATCCTAATATAACGAATGCGAAAGCGAGATGCCGTAAAGTAAGTTCCCCGTTCTCAATATCTTTAACTTCTGTCCTTTTGGGATATTGTTTATAAAAATCCAGTTTGCGTTTGTTAGCAATTCCACTTTCAAACATTGTGCTCACGAAAGAATTGAGAGTAGGTGTGAAATAATGATCTGCGATTAACACGAATCGTGTTTCAGCCGCTCCCGTCATGGAATTATCCCATATTTTGTATGCGCTCGATTTATAAGAAAATCCCCTTTCAAGTGTGTGCAAATCTTCCTTCGTTGTGATAACGGCACAATTTCTATAATCAGAAATTTCCATTACTGAATAAGCCAGGTCCGTATGGTCAACACCACGCAATTCCTTCTGTAACCGATTGTAAAGTTTACCACCAGTCGATCGAAAAGCGAAATGTTTTTTTCCGAAATACTCGAAAATATATATGGGCAACTGAGAATCTGCCAACTGTTCCAAATTGCGAATTTGAAAACCAATGCGTGGTTTTGTAAGAACAGTTGCCATGTTAGAAGTCAAACAGCAATGAATGTGAATTACATAAATTAAATAACATAAGAATGTGATACGTAGTGCAAAAGATCTAGGCACTTGGGACACATTACCAGAAATAGTTAGCGACCAGACGGACAAGAAAGCATAACATAGCGTATTAAAGCTAAATCCTTGACTGTAAGATACTATCAAACACCAAGTTAATGAAACGCATATAAATACAATGACAATAGCAACCCAAAGATCGTACGTGAGAATTAGTAAGAAAACATTCATAGGGGACGTTGGTACTGCCATTGGAACCAACCATACAATATCGCATGTCATTACAGGTTCTGTTATCGTATATCGCCTTAATAACTTACTCTGTGTCCAAGACACTGCGATGTGTGTAGTACTTTTTAGTAAAGGATAACCTTCCTTAAAGCCCTGGTATGCGTAACGCTTAAATGTGGCATTAACGTGGTTTGACAATTCTTCGATAAGGTATAGTACGTAAAGGGCGAATGGGTATCTTTCTGATTTTGTGTAAACACTACTTTTATCGTAGATGAATGTAAGTGGGCAGTTATTCATCTGACTTATTTCCTTTGTAAAAGTAAATTTGATTTGATCCTCGCAATCTTCTGAAATTATTACTTTGGTAGTTTCTCCACAGATATTTTCTGAAGAATATCGATTAGACATGTAAAGTTTCATCTTTCCTTCAGCATGCGCTAGAATGATTAAGTTATTCACTCCATACAACCAAAGCCTTTCAAATAGAAGAGAGACCTGTATAGTGTTCATAATAACCAGAATTTTGGCAGTACCGATATCTCTACCCCGACTTTCTGCTACATCACGCAGCCTACGTACTGAGTGAAATAGATCAAATCCATCCTCTGCACAGATTACAAACTGGCCTTCGTAATGTAACTGAATATTGTCCATGTTCTTAATGTTTAACGTAATGAATGGCCGTTTTAACTCCATTTCAAATATCGCTGTTTCGCATAAGCGATTATTTGGGATCAAGCTCAATGTATCGTCCTTCGCGAATAAATGATTTATAGTTTTCTGAATACATACTTTAGTTGATAATTGTGATTCCTTTAAGTTGAATGGAATACTGCATTCAACTAACATCAGCATTTGTAAATAGTTGAACGGCAAAGGCTTCCAAATTTTCATCTTTAGGTACAGGACAACAAATAAAAAGTGAATGATTCACTGCACGTCTTTTTAGTTAAATAAGTCCAGAGCAAACAATTTAACTACACTTTAGTCCTTATACAAAAAGGACAACCCTGTCGCCACTACGAACAGCCACGTACTAAGCCCGGTTATTAGTATAATGGATAGACAGCATAATTATGTACTTACTCCATTAACCTTCGTGCATATTTAATGTATGTAAATCATAGTCAATTACGTTTATTGATTCATATATCCATAAGAATTATCAGTAATGGAGAACGTGGCAATGCATTAGAACAAAATAAATAAATAAATCAATAAATAAATAATTAAATAAATAAATGAATAAATAAATAAATAAATATCGCGTTATTCTCCGCGTAGTTTTTACGGAATGCTATGTATTCAACTATAGAGTTCTAAAATTTAAAGAAAGATTGCTAATAATTTTTGTTGGCCACTTAAAGATTTCGAAAAAGATTTATCAGACCTCGCATAAAATTCACGGAAAGGCTTTTAAGATAAAAATTTTCAAGAGGATTTTATTGAAGAAGATTCTTATAAAAAAACAAGATTTCCCAAAAGTTTTGAAAAAAAGATTATAAAAGTACTTCTCTAGTGAAAAAAGTCCAAAATATTGATTGTTTCTTGTCTTGATGAAGCTCTTTGCGAAAGTGGACGAAACATTGGGTTTTCGTTCAATATTGACACGTTCCTAAGATGTCCTGGGAGGTATTAAGAGAAACCCAGAGTTAGGACGGAGTACACCTCTAAGCTAAAGCTATCAATATGTGTAATTGAATACAATTTTCATTAAATGCATGCAAAATTCAAAAGAATTAATTAAAAAATTTCAATTAGTACCTGAAATGTAGCATGAAAACTCTTATCTCCTGGGCCGTAATTTGGGCTCGATTAATCATAAAACTAAACATTTACAGATGAAACAAAATTTATTCGAGGTCAGATAACACACACAAAGCGACAAGCGATCGATTATACAAATTAAATTTAAAGTTGATCACGCGTCGCACTGATTTTTGGAACCAAGTGCAAACTCGCGGATTATGTACATTACATGTACATATTTGGCAATGACAGTAACTGATGTATTTTACTAATAGTTTTTGAATAAAAGAAAGGAGCATGAAAACCGAGATGAAAACCATTTATTTCTAGTGCACACGTAGAACATCATCTTATCGAACAAATGAGAACACAACTTACAGGAACAGTGTCACACAAATTTGCGTATGTAGCATAAGATGTCAATTACAGATGACACATATGCCATTTTTTCACGGGCGTTTTA